GGATCATATATACCCGCCCTAAAAGCCGCATTTGCAGTCAGATCTCTACTGCATCCCGTAGGACATTGCGGTCATTGTAGACAGTAAAGAGAACAGAACTTCAACGCAGACCCTGAGTCAGCTCGCGAGAAATGATCAGAATCCTAACACCGACGAGGAGTCATGTGGAGTTTCGGGAAACAAAACTGGACTGGGGCCAGTGACATCAGAACAACTCTATCAGTAGGAAAACCAGTACGGGATCCCATCTGCCACTGAACAAATATAAGCCGTAGCGGCGAAAACTTTGGTTTGCCTAGGACGCAGAACGCCAGGACACTCAAGCGACAGAAACCAAACTGGACACGCCAAAGAAGGCAGCAAACCGCACCGGCAAGATTACGGAGATCGGCAACGTTCAGATGGTGCGAACGCAAGCTACGACCCCGGGTTTTCAACGAATTAGAGAAGAATAAAAAGCAATCGAAGCAAATTGGAAATAATGAGTTGAAAAAGGACACAGCAAATCGAAGCAGTTTGGAAAAGAAATACTGGGTATGAAAAGCGGTGAAAAATCATACAAAAGACATCGTGCTAAGCTGAAGGCACATTTGGTAGTTGTAGCTTGGAAAACAAAAAAAGTATTCACTCATGTGTCGGCTCCCCTTCCACCGGTTTTTTCCCCTAAGATGGAGAAAAAAGGTAATATAAGCGGGCAATTTGGAAAGGTGGGTGCAACATGGCGCAAGCCGATAAACAGAACAAGGCACTTATCAGCCACTGAATAACATAATGGACATATGATGTAAATAGTAGCTAAAGAGGGGCAATTTAACTAAACAGAAAGCACTCAGCAACAACTCAACTCAATATGTAAAAACAAATTACCGGAACGAGTGTACCAGTTGGGTTAGGTTAGAGGTAGCTATGCTGGCACGCACCGTGGACAAAACGGACGAAATCTTTTTACACGGCTTTTCGTGCTGTCTCGCTCTTATCGAGTTTCTTGGCAACGCCTACTTGTCGTTAGCCTTCACAACGCACCATCCACTGAAAAAACCTATTGCATAGAGGTCGTGGCTTAGAAGGCTGCCGGCAGATGGAGTGAGTCGGTCCCCATTTGAAACGAGGGTTGACCGAAATTGTTACATTTAAATGTGGTCTTTATGGCACCTCCACTGGCGTGAGAGCCAAGACTGCGTCAGAGGTTGGTCGTTGCGTCTAACCACACCTTCAGTCAGTTGGACACGAAAAATTTACCGGTGTATAGTAGAAGGAAGATTGAAGTGAGAAAAACGTATTGCAAGTCCGTTCATTAACAAATTCATATGTAAGCCGTAACTGCGTCCCAGGGAACCCATCGCCTGCAACAGAGGAAATATCATTGCTTACTTCGACCCTCCTAATTATCGGCTATCTTACGGGGAAAGTGCCTTTGGATTGTTCAGATACTGAAAACGACCGGTCAACCGGCAGTTGGTCGGCAGTTTTTAACAACGCAAGCCTATAGAGCACGAACACCATAAGAACAACTCCTATTGGTTAACAACGCAAGCCTATAGACCAATAACACTATACAAACAACTCATATCACCATTCAGTTCAGTTTATTGAGCGGCCCTACGATTGACTCCTACCGATCTTTTTTCACAGTCATGTGGTCCGGCTTGAAGGTCCTGACACCGTGACCCGTAATTTTTACGGAATGTGTCAAAGTTTAATCTACTTTGCGGGGCTGTTTAATGAGCGCTCAGGCGATCACATACAAGCGATTAAGGCTGCGGCGGTTGCGAAAACGTGCTAAATAGAACATGTGCGGTAATAATGCTACATTCAACAAGTGCAATAAATCGACAACATGATGTAACACAAAGACTAAGTTGTCCCTTCGAGCACGCGAAGCAGCAAACGTCCTTTCACTTTTCGCACTGAAAGCTGGAGCAGACGCTTAAACATAGAGATAACACGCACGAGTTTAAGCGGCAGAGGTCAGGTCGGCCCACAGGGGGTTAAACTCTAACCGATCTAAGCCGGTGCAGTGAAAACATTTATGCAGAAAACGTGGTTGGCTGAAAAAACTTTTCTCATGCAAAATGTTAGCGCAGCCTTTCTGAAGCGTCTGTACCGAAGTCAATCCGGAAGACGAAAAATCGATCGGCACTTCCTCAAGTAAAATACTGCCTAAGACGGCTTACAATGCTGACTGATGAGAAAAAATGATCATCCACACATTTGCTCACAGGCCTTTCCATGGCACTCCCTTCTGAAAATCTACAGGTGTATATCCTCTCTCTCTCTCATGCCCTTTTTGGTTAGCACTCAGTGGAAGGAAAAGACAAAAAGGACACTTTATGCCGCTAATTCCAAATGTGTCAATTTTTTTTCTTTAAAAGTAGCAAAGGGAAGCAAGTTGGTTCTGAAGATTTCGTAGGGATTAGGCCTTCAAAGGGTAATTACTGCAAGCTCAGTAAGCTTACAAATTAAGCATGTAGGTTGTTCCAAACAACTCTATATTGTTGGTTTGGCAGATACGAATAATTTAATCTACTACCGAGTCGTAAAAAACCCAACCTTCTG